GAGCAGGGCATGCGGAATTTGGGGGGCAGGGGGTGGGTTTGGGGGTGTTGGAGAGGAGAAGCAGCGCTGAGGGGGGCAGGACATTGTGGGGGTCCTGCCGGGGGGGGTCTAAGGGGGATTTGGGGGGGATTGACAGAATGGGGGGAGTGCTGGGTTTGTGGGGGAAGCTGGGGGACACCTCGTGTTGGGGGACACAGAAATGGGGGTGAGGGGGGTCCCCGGGGTCTCCCCTCGATTTTGGGGTCCAGGAATGGGAGGAGGGGCTGGAGAGCCCCGGGGCAGGGAAGGGGGATCGGGGGGGGGGCAGGAGGATTTGGGGGTGCGGGCGGTGGGCTCAGGGTGCAGGATCGGAGACACAGGGTTGGGGACAATTTTGGGGTCCTGCCCGGGGAGGGGCCCTCGGGATTTGGGGGGCAAAGGCGGTTTGGGGGTGAGAGAGGCTTGGGGGGGTCTGGGGGGGAGCTGGGGGGGGTCACGAAGTCTCCGAGTGGGGGCAGGTGGGAGCGGGGGGCACCTCGCACAATTGAGGTCCCTGGGGGCACCCCGGAATTTGGGGGGGGGGATCCGTGAAGGGGGGGGAATGGAGAACTGGGGGGGGGGCAGGGAACGGAGGTGACAGCCCTGAGCGGGGCATGAGGAATCTGGGGGTGCTGGGGGTGGATTTTGGGGTGTTGGAGAGGAGAAGCAGCGCTGAGGGGGGCAGGACATTGTGGGGGGTCCAAGGGGGATTTGGGGGGGACAGACAGATTGGAGGGAGTGCTGGGTTTGTGGGGGAAGCTGGGGGACACCTCGTGTTGGGGGGCACAGAAATGGGGGGTGAGGGGGGTCCCCGGGGTCTCCCCTCAATTTTGGGGTTCAGGAATGGGGTGGAGGGGCTGGAGAGCCCCGGGGCAGGGAAGGGGGATCGGGGGGGGGGGGGGCAGGAGAGGACCCCTCAAACCCTGGATCCCCAATCTGGGACCCCTCAAATGGGGTGAGGGGTGGGGACAGTTTTGGGGTCCTGCCCAGGGATTTGGGGGGCAAAGGCAGTTTGGGGGTGAGAGAGGCTTGGGGGGGTCTGGGGGGGAATTGGGGAGAACGGGGGGGACACAAAGGCTCTGAGTGGGGGCAGAGGGGGGTGGTGAGGATTTGGGGGGGCTTTGGGTTAGTGAGGGTCCCTGGGTCACCTCGGAATTGAGGGGGTCAGGGAAATGAGAGGAGGGGGCTGGAGACCCCCGGGACAGGGAAGGGGGGGATGAATGCCCAGGTGGGGGGAGCAGGAGGAGTTCGGGGCTGAGTTTTGGGGTGCAGGAGAAGAGAAATAGGGCAGAGGGGGGCAGGATGTTATTGGGGTCCTGTTGGGACCCCCAGAAGGGAGGCAGTGGGATTTTGGGGGGAAAGCAGGGCAGGGGAATTGCAGGGGGGTACCGAGGTATGGGGTGGTCCAAGGACATTTTGGGGTGCTGCAGAACAGTGGGAGGGGACTGTGAGGGTTTGGGGGGACTGAGCATCCCATAGAGGCAGGCATTGCCCCCACAGCCACCTCGAGCCCCTCCTTTGGTGGTTTTGGGGTGGGGGGACCTTCCCTGGGAGCTGCACAGGGGTGGGGGCCATGGGGGTCCTCACTTTGGGGGGAAGGGGTGGGGCTGGGTTGTCCTGTGCCCCCCCAAATCTGTCCTACCTGTCCTCAGCCCCTCCATCCATGGCCATCCCAGGGTGACTCTTGTGCTTCAACCCCTGCACCCCACATGACCCCCCAAAGGGACAGTGGGGGCACAACACTGACCCCTCATCCCATCCCATTGATCCCGTTGATCCCATCCCATTGATCCCATTGATTCTATTGATGCTATCCCATGGATCCTGTTGATCTTATTGATCCCATCCCATTTCATCCCATTTATCCCATCCAATTCATCCTGTTGATCCCGTTGATAGCATCCCATCAATCCTATCCCATCCCATCTATCCTATCGATCCCATCTCATTGATCCCATTGATCCTGTTGATCCTATTGATCCAATCCCATTGATCCCATTGATCCTATCAATCCCATTGATCCCATCTCATCCCGTTGATCCCATTGATCCCATCCCATCGATCCCATTGATCCTCTCCCATTGATTCCATTGATCCCATCCCATCAATCCCACCGATCCCATTGATCCTGTTGATCCCACTGATCCCATCCCATTGATCCTGTTTATCCTATTGATCCCATCAATCCCATTGATCCCATCCCATCTCATTGATCCCATTGATCACTTGCTCTCCCATTGATCCCATCACATTCCATTCATCCCTTCCCATTGATCTCATTGATCCCATTGATCCCATCCCATCCCATCCCATCCCATCCCATCCCATCCCATCCCATCCCATTGATTCCATTGATCCCCTCCCACTGATCCCATTGATCCTGCTGATCCTATTGATCCAATCCCCTTGATCCCATTGATCTTGTTGATGATGTTGACCCAAACCCATTGATCCCATTGATCCCGTTGATCCTATTGATCCCATCCCATTGATCGCATTGATCCAATCCCATTGATCCAATCCCATTGAATCCAACCCATGGATCCCATTGATCCAATCCCATTGATCCCATTGATCCCATCCCACTGATCCCATCCCACTGATCCCATCAATCCCATTGATCCCATTGATTCTATTGATCCCATCCCATCAATCCCATGGATCCCATTGACCCCACGGGTTGCAGTCCCAGGGGTTCCCGTGCCCCCACCCCCTGTGCTGCCCCCCAGGCTGTCCCGTGCCCTCGGGGGCACTCAGGCCCTGGCATCGCCCTCCAGGTTCTGTTTGAGGGCACCAAACTCTGCCCTGGCTTGGCAGGGATCCCAATCCTGGGAATGGAAACTCTGGGGTGCCCCTGTGGGGTTGTGTTTGGGGGTCCCCAGGACCAGGGGAGAGATGAGAATCTTCACTCCATGTTTCAGGAGGCTGATTTATTATTTTATTATATGTATTATATTAAATATATATCATTAGATAATAAATAATATGTTATATATAAATAATATATTATATATGATATAAATATTGTATGAAATATAATATAATATAATATAATATGATATAATATAATATAATATAATATAATATAATATAATATGTATATGATAAATAATATATGATGGTAATAAATAATATATTATATATAAATTATATGTATATATATATATATATATATATATATATATATGTAATAAAATAATATACTAAAAGAAAGAGAAAGGAGACATCAGAAGGCTTTAAAAGAATGAAGAATAAAAACTTGTGACTGCTCAGAGCCTCGACATAGCTGGATCATGATTGGTCATCAAATAAAAACAATTGACATGGGACCAATCAAAGATTCACCTGTAGCTAAACCATCTGCAGACCACATTCCAAGCAATCAGATAATTCTTGTTTACATTTCTTTTCTGAGGCTCCTCAGGGGAAAAATCCTAGCGAAAGGATTTTCATAAAATATCCCAATGACAGCACTGCAGGCTGCTACCGGTGCCAGGGGCTCCAGAAATGCTGCCACTCCTTTTGGGGTCGGGATCCTGCCCCCTGTTTTATTATTATTATTGTTATTATTATTATTATTATTATTATTATTACTATTATGTTTGTGTTTTATTATTACTTGGTTTTATTATTTTTATTTTATTATTATCATTATAATTATTATGTTTTGGGTTTATTATTCCATTTTTTTTTTCACTACTATGTTTTGTTTGACTATTATTATCATTATCATCGTTAGCATCATTATCATCATTATCATGATCATTATAATGTTTTGGGTTTATATTATTTCATTATTGTTATTGTTATTATTATAATTATTATGTTTTGTTTTGCTATTATTATCATCATTATCATGTTTTGGTTTTATTATTATTTTGGTTTATTATTTTTATTTTTATTATTATCATCATTATTATGTTTTGAGTTTGTTGTTATTTGTTTTTATTATTTTAATAATTATCGTTATTATAATTGTTATTGTTATTGTTATTGTTATTATTGAACACCAAAACATAATAATGATAATGATAATGATAATGATAATGATAATGATAATGATAATGATAATATTAATAATAATAATAATAATAATAATAATAATAATAATAATAATAATAATAATGAGAATAAACCCAAAATATAAAAATTATGGGTCCAACTTTTGGACCTATCTCTGCCTAATCAACACTTAATTAACATGGAAATTAAATCCACATGGAGACTGGGAGCATCCTAAATATCCTTCTCTCACCTTTTTTCCCCTCTTTCTTTATTTTTTAATATTTTTATTAATATTTTATGCATTTTATGCCTTCCCTCCATCTGTTGCTCCGTGGCTGCTCCTCCCAGCCTGCCCTCACCACCATCTGCATAAATGATTTGTCACATTAAATGCCAAAAAATGCCCCAAAAAGTGTGAAAATCGGGATGTGTGATGGGGAAAGGATCTGGAGCTGGATGCCCACCTGCATCCAGCCTGGAATCACAAATGTCTGATTAATTGGCTCGTTAATTAGTCTTCTCTCCCGGGTTATTTGTGTCTCCTCCCAGCAGCCGCAGCAAAGAGAAATCCAAGGATTTCTCCTTGAAACTTTTCTATTTCTCCTGAATGAGTCACCTTTCCCAAACTCCTCCTTTTTGGGGGGATCTTTAGGGGGGGATCCTGGGGCTCCCAGGTTTTTGGGGAGCACAGGAGCAGCCAGAGCTCGGCACGGGAACATCTCCAATGTTTTGTGTTCCTCCAGGCCAAACCCAGGCACCCCAAAACTCGGAGGAGCCAAAAAACCAGGAGGGGCAGAACCGCAGAGAGCCGGAGCCAGAAACCCCAAAACCAGAGCCCAGAGACCCCAGAAAACGGAACCCAGACACCCCAAAACCCAGAGAGCCGGAGCCCAGAGACCCCAAAAAACAGAGCTCAGAGATCCCAAATCCTGCAGAGCCAGAGCCCAGAGACCCCAAAAGCCGGAGCTCAGAGACCCCAAAACCTGCACAGCCGGAGCCTGGAGACCCCAAAAACAGAGAGCTGGAGCCCAGAGACCCTGAAACCCAGAGAGCCAGAACCTAGAGACCCCAAATCCTACAGAACCGGAGCACAGAGAACCCAAAACCAGAGAGCCAGAGCACAGAGACCCCAAAACCTGCACAGCTGGAGCCCAGAGACCCCAAAACCTGCAGAGCCAAGGCCAGAGACCCCAACTCCTGCAGAGTCGGAGAACAGAGACCCCAAATCCTGCAGAACCAGAGCCCAGAGACCTGAAAACCAGAGAGCCGGAGCCCAGAGACCCCAAAACCCTGAAACCCAGAGCCCAGGCACCCCAAAACCCAGAGAGCCGGAGCCCAGAGACCCCAAAATCTGCACAGCCGGAGCCCAGAGACCCCAAATCCTGCAGAGTTGGAGCCCAGAGACCCTAAAACCCAGAGAGCCAGAGCTCAGAGACCCCAAAAACCAGAGAACCAGAGACCCCAAATCCTGAGGAGCCGGAGAACAGACAGCCCAAAACCGGAGAGCCAGAGCCCAGAGACCCTAAAACCCAGAGAGCCAGAGACCCCAAAACCAGAGAGCCAGGGCCCGGAGACCCCAAAACCTGCAGAACGGGAGCCCAGAGACCCCAGATCCTGAAGAGCCAGAAAACAGACACCCCAAAACCCAGAGAGCCGGAGCCCAGAGACCCCAAAACCTGCAGACCTGGAGCCCAGAGACCCTAAGAGCCAGAGAGCCAGAGACCCCAAAACCGGAGAGCCAGGGCCTGGAAACCCCAAAACCCAGAGAGCTGGAGCCCAGAGACCCTAAAACCCAGAGCCCAGAGACCCCAAATCCTGGAAAGTTGGAGCGCAGAGACCCCAAAACCCAGAGAGCCAGAACCCAGATTTCCTGAGAGCTGCAGCCAGGACAGCAGAAAGGCGGAGCCCTGAAACCCTGGGAACCCTGAAACCTGGGAGCTCTGAAACCTCGGGAACCCCAAAACCCCAGGAACCCTGAAACCTCGGGAACCTTGAAACCTGGGAGCCCCAAAACCTGGGAACCCTGAAATCTGGGAGCCCCCAGGCGCCCCCAGCCCAGGCCGGGGGGCAGGAGCCCCAGCCAGCCCCGAGTGCAGAGGGAGGGTCCCTCACCCCAGAACGAGCAGTGGGTGAGTACCTGGGACCCCCAAAATCCATGGGATTCCCTTCCTTCCCCCTCCCATCCCCCCATTTCCCTTCCCTGTCTGACAGGACTGGGGGCTGGGGAGGGGATGGGCCCACCTGGGACAGGGAGCAGCAGAAGCTTTGCCACCTTTTCCCACCTTTTCCACCTTTTCCCACCTTTTCCACCTTTCCCCATCTTTTCCAGCCTCGGGAGGAGGAAGAAGCTGCCCCAGGATTTTGGGGTGTTCCCCCCGATCCTGGCAGCTCTGTGGGGCAGGTGAACCCACCTGGGGGATGAATCCAGAGCCCACCCACCTGTGACTGCTGAGAAAAGTGTCCCCAACAGTTTGGGTGCCCTCAGGGGCCACCAGGGGCTTGTGGGGGCAGCCAGGTGTCACCTGGAGATTTGGGGACCTCTGTGGGCTCTACAGAGGTGATTTCACCTGGCCCATCCCAGGTTTTTAGGGTTTCAAAGGGGGTGAGAGGAATCCCAGAACCCCAAATCCCCCCGGGGACCCCCAGGTTGGTGACAGCCCCCTGTTGTCCCCTCGTGCAGCATGTGGCAGGTGTGACCCTCCCCACCTGTGCCAGCCCACCATGGAGCCGTGCCCGGGGCAGCCCCAGGAGGCCCTGCTGACGGTCAACGAGCAGGTACGGACCCCAAAACGGGCTGGGACCCCAAAACGGGCTGGGACCCCAAAATGGGGCTGGGACCCCAAAACAGGGCTGGGACCCCAAAACCGGCCTGGGACCCTAAAATGGGGCTGGGACCCCAAAACAGGGCTGGGACCCCAAAACCGGCCTGGGACCCTAAAATGGGGCTGGAACCCCAAAATGGGCTGGGACCCCAAAATGGGACTGGAACCCCAAAACGGGGCTGGGACCCCAAAATGGGGCTGGGACCCCAAAATGGGCTGGGACCCCAAAATGGACTGGGACCCCAAAATGGGCTGGGACCCCAAAACTGGGCTGGGACCCCAAAATGGGCTGGGACCCTAAAATGGGGCTGGGACCCCAAAACTAGGCTGGGACCCCAAAACGGGGCTGGGACCCCAAAATGGGCTGGGACCCCAAAATGGGGCTGGAACCCCAAAATGGGGCTGGGACCCCAAAACGGGCTGGAACCCCAAAATGGGCTGGGACTCCAAAACTGGGCTGGGACCCCAAAATGGGGCTGGAACCCCAAAATGGGCTGGGACCCCAAAATGGGGCTGGGACCCCAAAACCGGGCTGGGGAGGGGGACCCCAAAACTGGCCCGAGGGGTAAGACCTCCACCCCAAAACCGGGCTGGGGGTGAGACTCCAAAACTGGCCATGGCTGGGACCCCAAAACTGGCCGGGGTTGGGACCCCTCCCCAAACCAGGCCAGGGCTGGGACCCCAAAACCGGCTGTGGGTGTGACCCCCCCTCCCTGTGTGCCCTGGCATGGGCTGGAACACCTGCAGGAGATTTGGGGGGCTCACCTGGCCCTGCACCCCACCTGTGGGGCTGGAGGGGATGCTGCGGTGGGATTTTGGGGTGCTGTTTTGGGGTGCTGTTAGTTTGGGGTGCTGTGGGTGGAGTGGTGCAGGTGGGAGGAATACTCGCTGTGTTTTGGGGTGCTGCAGGTTTTGGGGTGCTGCAGTTTTGGGTGCTGCAGTTTTGGGTGCTGCAGTTTTGGGGTGCTGCAGGTTTTGGGGTGCTGCAGGTTTGGGTGCTGCAGGTTTTGGGGCGCCCGCTCGATGGGTTCATACAGGCTCAGGTGGAACAGCCAGGTTTAATAAATCATTAATTAATCCCCAGTTTAATAAAGGATGATAGGAGACAAGGAGAACAGAGCAAAGGTGTGAAAAACACATTCACTGTCCTGTGAAAATGTAAAAAGTTTAGTAAAGAACAATAGGAGACAAAGAGAACAGAGCAAGGTTATGTGAAAAACACAGTCACTCTTGTGAACATGTAAAAAGTTTTATAAAGGACAGTAGCAGACAAGGACCACAGATCAAAAGTTATGTGAAAAACACATTCACTCTCCAGTGAAAATGTAAAAAATTCAATAAAGGACAGTAGGGGACAAGGAGAACAGAGCGGAGGTTATATAAAAAACCACAGTCAGTGTCCTGTGAACGTGTAAAAAGTTTAGTAAAGGATAATAGGAGACAAGGACCACAGAGCAAAAGTGTGAAAAACACAGTCACTCTCATGTGAAAATTTAAGAGTTTTATAAAAGACAATAGGAGACAAGGACCACAGAGCAAAGGTGGTGTGAAAAACACGTTCACTCTCATGTGAACATTTAAAAAGTTTTATAAAGGACAATAGGAGACCAGGACTATAGAGCAAAGGTGTGAAAAATACAGTCACTTTCACGTGAAAATTTAAAAGTTTTATAAAGGACCATAGGAGAAAAAGAACCACAGAGCAAAGGTGGTGTGAAAAACACATTCACTGTCCTGTGAAAATGTAAAAAAGTTTAATAAAGAACAATAGGAGACAAAGAGAACAGCAAAGGTTATGTGAAAAATACATTCACTCTCGTGAAAATTTAAAAGTTTTATAAAGGACAGTAGTAGACAAGGACCACAGAGCAAAGGTGTGAAAGACACATTCACTGTTCTGTGAACATTTTAAAAGTTCAATAATGGACAGTAGGAGACAAGGAGAACAGAGTAAAGGTTATGTGAAAAACCACAGTCAGTGTCCTGTGAACGTGTAAGTTTAATAAAGGGTGATAGGAGACAAGGGCCACAGAGCAAGGGTTATGTGAAAAACACGGTCACTCTCTTGTGAAAATGTAAATTATAAAAAGCTTTATAAAGGATGATAGACAAGGGGAACAGAGCAAAGGTGTGGAAAACACGGTCACTTTCCTGTGAAAATGTAGAATTTAATAAAGAACAATAGGAGACAAGGACTATAGAGCGAAGTTCATGTGAAAAACACATTCACTCTCCTGATAAAATGTAAAAAGTTCAATAAAGGACGATAGGAGATAAGGACCACAGAGCAGAGGTTATTATGGCATCAACCAAGCCCGCACTGTTATCTGCAGGGACACCCCTTAAATACCTTTTCCCTTACATCATTCTTTGCATATTCATAGATTTGTATGCATATTCATAAACTAGTTTGCATATTCATGACCTATTTTGCGTGGCCCCTCCTCGGGGCCGCCTTTTAGAGCCGGCTGTTTCTTGGCTTGATTTTGTCTCCTTCTCTTTATCACCTCCAGTTTTGGGCCTGGCCCTCACTGCCCTCAGGGGTGAGCGCTGTGAAAAACGCCTATCGCTTGTTTTTAAAATTTTTAAAAGTTTAATGATAATAAAATGGTTATAAAAATAGCAATATAATTAGAGTAATAAAAATTTGGACAATTTGGATTAGGACAATATGAGACAATAAGAACAAAGAGTTATGGATGTCCGGGACCTTTTCTGGGCAAAATGAGCCCAAAAAGGACCCACGTTAACAGAGGATTAACCCTTAAAGCAACAGCCTGTTGCATATTCATACACCTCATGCATGATGCATAAATTCCATCCAAACACAGGATTCTGTCTGGGCAGTGTCAGCTTCTGCCTCTGGATCCTGACGGCTCTGCAGGGCTGAGCAAGGTGGGAATGTGAAAACCGCCAATCACTCGGGTTTGAAATTTTAAAAGTTTAATGGTAATGAAATGGTTATAAAAATAGTAATGAAATTAGAGTAATAAAAATTTGGACAATTGGGATTAGGACAACATGAGACAATAAAAACAAAGAGTTACAGACAGTCTGGGTAACTTTTTTTGGGCAAAATAAGCCCAGAAAGGACCCACGTTAACAGAGGATTAACCCTTAAAAGCAACAGCCGGTTGCATATTCATACACCTCATCCATGATGCATAAATTCCATCCAAACACAGGATTCTGTCTGGTCATCTTCAACTTCTTCCTCATAATCCTAACGACATCATCCTCTCTGAGTGAGGCAGGAAGAAGTTCATTTCTCCTGGTAATGGGGCAATAAATTCTCTTTCTCTGAAGGATTCAGGTGTCCTGAGGCTGCTATCTCAGTGGGAGTACCTCATTCCTCTCTTTAAAAAATATCCCACGTACATAGTTTCTATTTTAAGTACACAAGTGACGTTTTAACTACAAAACTACATTTACCATCCTATTAAAATGCTAATACAGCACCACTAATCAATACAATATAATGCATGCAGTATATAGAAATGTACAAATATACAAATATACAAATATACAAATATACAAATATAAAATATCTGTGTAGAGCCACCCAATATGCACTTTTCACAGTGCTGGTGGTTGGCAGATCTGCACAGGTGTGCTCATTGTGTGTCCCCGTGTGCACAGATGTGCTCATTGTGTGTCCTTGTGTACAGGTGTGCTCATTGTGTGTCCCCGTGTGCACAGGTGTGCTCATTGTGAGTCCCCATGTGCACAG